GAAACGGGAGGACCCCGAGAAAACCCACGAGGTTGGACAAGCGACCCTACTCCTTGTCACGTACAATCTGGGAATCGAAACCACGCCAGCTGACTCAATGACAGACCTTATCATAAAGCGGCGCTACGTTGGATTTTAACGAGATTTGCCAAAACTCGGGTTCGACCTTTGACGAAATATAAATGTGACCGATGTTGTGGAGCTATTGTTCATATTTAATGGAGAATCAATATGGCCACACTTGTTAACAGATAAATGGTTAAACGGACAATTAGAGAACGAATCAATGTGTTGATACTCGTAACGGAAGTCGATATGTACTATTCAAAGGTTCTCCACGAATATTTATTGGTGGTTTAAAAGCCAAAGCTTAGAAATGTACCCATTTATGGTCATTGAATATAGCTCTATTCACGCGCTTTGTTTTGGGGGGTTGAATTGAACAAAACAAGACCAGTTGAAAGAGCCAGACCATTTCTAATTGACTTCACGGAGACAACATTTATTAAAATCTCCAATCGTTCGTCGTACACACGGCTAATAATTAAGCCCCGTCTCTATGGAATACTCTCAGCGCCAAAATGACAAGCCATGGTAATAGCTCAATCTGCACTGTAAATGTAATCGTTGTTTTATTGTAAATGCTAAAATAGCACAACACAAATGAAATGAAATGGGGTTTAACTTACGTCCTAACTGTTTGTTGTTGTTCTTTGTGTTTAGCGTCCGCTTTAGCTTTCACCGAAGGTGACATTGCAGACAAGTCTTTTTTTCATTTTTATTATCTTAGCGCACGCGCAGGGGTCTTTCCTGTGCCCGGAGTAAACCCACGAGGTTTAGAAGGCGCCCTTATCTCCACGCCCCATACGCTCACACCAGGGATCGAAACCACAACCGTAAGCAAGAGGTGACCGGCCATTTAGAGGTCGAAGGTCATCCCAACCCACCTCCAACTTGTTTGCACCGACTGGGCTAATGTAGACGGGGCATACGCCATACAGTATGTTGTGAGAGTCATTTTGCCAAGGTAGCGGCCCTACGGTGTATTCTTAAATCGAATAACAACTGCCAATGGATCTTTTACGTGCATGCAATGTGTACACGGGTCTCGGTTTTCCCCCATCCGAACGACTGTCCCAATCTGATTTCGTTTCGTTTTTTCACACTTTCGATGGCCTACACTACATGAAGATCTGACCGGTTGTAGCGATAGGTCGCGTCAGAGGCCATACGAGCGGCTTTTGACCTATGGCGTCAGACATTTGATTAACTAATCAGCATTGATGTTACTAGTGGATTACCCACAGTTCCGTGCAAAACACACCCAAAGCTCGCTGTAAAAGATCGTTTCATTGGCTAATAGCTCACATCATTCAGAACACGTCAATGATAACAACTGTTCCAGATCCTAGTGTAGTAAAAGACAAGTAAAACGAAATTTTGAACTATAAAAACGAAACGAAATAGGATCTGTGTTTTAATCAGATTGCAGCTGTCCTTGTCAGAAGAGCCGGGATCGAACCCAGGATCTCCTGGTTAGTGAGCCAGCGCCTTAAGCACTGAGCCACCATCAACAACGAATCCACTACTCACTGAACCACAGTGGATATATTTTTATAGTGTAACTTTACCTCGATTACATACAGTATAATATAACAGCGGTTAAACCATATTGATTTTGTTGTAAATGTATACTGATATACACAGATACGTTCCATGCAGGCCACAGAGAAAGAGCCATGGAAATTCAGGGTAAGCAATCATTTTAAACATAACGAAGTAGACTTTCGACACGGTTGCGCTAATACGTGATGGTAGTTTATGATAGGCCTACTGTTGTGTAGCGAAGTAGAATTTGGACACGGTTGCGCTAATACGTACTTTTGATGGCAGTTTATGATAGGCCTACTGTTGTGTAGCTATTGCACGGGTAAGCAATTATTTTAAAGATAGCGAAGTAGAATTTGGACACAGTTGCGCTAATACGTATTTTTGATGGCAGTTTATGATAGGCCTACTGTTGTGTAGCTATTGCACGGGTAAGCAATTATTTTAAAGATAGCGAAGTAGAATTTGGACACAGTTGCGCTAATACGTATTTTTGATGGTAGTTTATGATAGACCTACTGTTGTGTAGCTATAGCACGAAGTACAGTCCCGGAATTCGTGGTAAGCAATCATTTTAAAGATAACGAAGTAGAATTTAGGCACGGTTGCACTAATATGTATTTTAAATGGTAGCTATGATAGGGCTGTTGTGTAGCTTTGACACGAAATTTTAGAATTGTTTATCGATGGTTCAAACGATGCTAGAGAAATAGACAGAGAATGGGGTTTAACGTCCACTCGACACAAACTTGGTCATTTCGGGACTAACATATGGTTCAATTTTATTTCAATAATTCACTTGCGCGTAGGGGTCTTTAGCAATGGGAGGAAACACAGTTTCGGTCGATTGCCATTAATAGAGAAATTATTGTACTGCAATTGAATGCTGAATATTTGTTGACAGAACAATCTGATTATAATACAGATCTATATTTCGTTTCGTTTTTTTTATACTTTCGATGACCTACACTACATGAAGATCTGGTCGGTTGTAGTGGAATGTCGCGTCAGAGGTCACACGAGCGGCTTTTGACCATATGACGTCAGACATTCGATTAACCAATCAGCGTTGATGTTTCTACTGGGTTACCGACAGTTCCGTGCACCTCACGCCTAAAACTCGCCATAACAGACCGTTTCATTGGCTAATCCCTCACATCATCCAGAACGCGGGTTATATCACAACTTTTCTAGATCCTAGTGTAGTAAAGACAAGTAAAACGAAATTTTGAACTATAAAAAACGAAACGAAATAGGATCTGTGTTTTAATCAGATTGGGGTTAGGTATGACATAAACAGATTTTGTACTGCTAAAATTAGGTATGAAAAACTCAATACATCGTGGAATCAATTAAAGCAAGTTAAAGGGGCATTATGGAAGATTAAACAGAGAGCTGACATAGGATGGCATCGAAAGTTGATCAAGGTTTTTTCAAGTTAATAAATGTCTAATTAAAGATACATTATGGGAGATTAGATAAAGAGCTTACGGTTCTCACTATTATAGTTAAAAACGAGATAATGTAACGGGAATTTGCTGAAAATTTCAGTCAAATTGATTCACTCTGAACCGAGATTTTAGCGATTGAATTTTCGGCCTTGCCTCGATCATCATTACTAAAGTCGGTAAGATAAAAAAAAACATAGTCTCGATTATCCATTTCGTGATTAAATAATGACTGAAAGTTGAGCAGGAAATCTGATCGTAATCCAGTAAATGTCGCAGGCTAGCGATGACATAGAGAGTTGATTATAGTCTGGAAAAGTTAATTAATGTCTAATTAATAATTTAGATAACATTTCAGGCCTAAAGACTAAAGAAGGACCTGCACTAGACAGATTTCGCCCATGCATAATGTATTTATAATAATTTAGATAACATTTCACACCTAAAGAAAAACCTGCAATAAGCAGATTTAGCTCTTGCATAATTTATGTTTAAAGTAGCTAAATCGCTAATATTTGAGACCTAGAAATTGACACAAGTGGGTCGCAACACATACAATATTGTAATATGAATGTATATAAATTGATTTACATTCAATCGTTTCTGTTTTTACTGTAGTTTCTAATCATTTATGCCACGTGTTCGGCGAATTACGCAAGAAGTCTCAATGGAATGGCAATCTCTGGCGTCTGGTTATTCCAGTCTACACATATAGTATTTATTGCGCATGATCTCCAGATAAGAATATGGCCTCACCGTTTGACATGACTTGTGGAATATGTCTAGCTTCGTTCTTCGAGTCCTTCATTACAAAAGGCGCTGAAACGCATTATGGTACACGGTAAAAAATTTATTTTGTCTTAAATATTGGATATCAGAAGTTCATCTTTTCCCGGTAAGATAACAGCATCAATGTTGATTTAAATTGACAAATAATTTGTGTTTTCAATGTCGAAGACTTTAGATAGTACTGAGTTAGAGCCTTAGCTACTTTAAGTGAAAAAATTGTAGAAAGATAGACATTAAAAAAAACCAAAAACAAAACAGATCAATATATTTTACTAACGACAAATTCTGATTATGTTTGATAAAGGGGCGTGTCTGTTAAATTTAGAACTAGGGAATGGGATGACAGCTGTTCAATCAGGTCTATAGTGTATATCTACAGTTTGTTTTATTAGTTTGACTTGTTCAGTTGCACAGCAACGATTATACATCTATAGTAGATAATAAAGTCGACGTAAATATTGGATATATTGTTAGAAAATATCGTAAACTCTTCTGAATTGAGATGAGGCGAGATACTTGGCTATTCCACTTACCCCGCCCCCCCCCCACCCGGCACCGTAAAGACTATAGAGGGGGATGAAAGTGTTTGAGTGACAGGTGTTAACACACCTTAACCGAAAGACGTCTAGATCGGGAGGTCCCAGGATTTAGTCTACCAGCCCCCACCCTGACGGCTAGAGGAAGATGGAAGTCTGCTGAAACATAATTGAGAAACACCGAGGATGATGAAAGGTGTTAAGACTACAGTGCGTGTACACCTAGGCCGCAGCAGGTTCAGTATGCCGAGCCTGTATGGTCTGAGGGAACCACGGTGGCTAAGTGAGTAAGACGCTGGCTCCCTAGTCTAGAGGTCGTCTGTTCGATCCCTTTGTTGACCGAGAAAGTTCATCGGTATTTTCCGGTGTGGTTTCCCCTTGTCAAGGGTGGAGGATGGAGAGTCTGACAAGGACAGTTGTCTAGTCGTTCGGATAGGAAGAAAACCCGAGGTCCCGTGTACACATTGGCGTGCACGTAAAAGATCCCTTGGCAGTTGGAATTCGATGTAAGAGTAGGCACACTTTATGACGCAGCCGGAGCAGAACAGTCGAACGTTAAACCCCATTTCATATATATGGTATGAGATGTACCTTTTATTATTTTACTTTAATTTTTCAGGTGAGCGAGAAGTTAAAAACATGTTCCGGCGGCGGGTACTTGTGTATATTTGTGTGATATTTCTAACTTTTGAAACGTTTTTACTCGTGGAACAACAGAAGAACATAACGAGGGGTAAGAACAACATTTATTGTTAATTACTCAATCTGATTAAAACACACATCCTATTTTGTTTCTTCCCCCGTTTGTACGTGACAAGGAGTAGGGTCGCCTGTCCAACCTCGTGGGTTTTTCTCCGGTTCCTACGGTTTCCTCCCACTACTAAAGACCCCTACGCGCAAGCGAATTATTGAAATAAAATTAAACCATATGTTAGTCCCGAAATGACCTGGTTTACGTGGAGTGGACGTTAAACCCCATTTCTCTCCCTCTCCCTCTCATTACACAGTTTCAAATAAAATGGTGTTTAGCGTCCTTCGTCTCTTCAACAGAAAAACATTACGAAGGGTAAGAAATGACATTAATTGTTAATTAACAGACAATCACACAGTTTCAAATGAAATGAAATAGGGTTTAACGGCCTACCTCTCTGCATCAACCGGAAAGAGAGAGAAATGGGGTTTAACGTCCAATCGACACAATCTAGGTCATTTCTGGACTAACATATGGTTCAATTTTATTTCAATAATTCGCCTGCTCGTAGGGTCTTTGGCAGTGGGAGGAAACCAGGGAAAACCCACGAAGTTGGACAGGCGACCCTACTCCTTGTCAAGTACAACCGGAGTTCGAAACCACGCCAGGCATTATGTTACCGCACGCACGTGCTAACCATTCGCCCCCCCCCCCCAGTCATGGTTAATATAAATCAGGATAGAAGCTAATTAGTTAAGTATTTAATCCATTATTGTTTATTTATGTTAATATCTTTTTTAATGTCAACACTTGAGCTTATCCATTAATAGTTAGAATATAAAAAGGGTAATGTACAGCAATAGGCAAGGGCCAGACTGCGCACGCTCGCCATTCTCTCTTTTCTAAAACCCGGAGCGTCTCCTTCGGATGAATTTCACCTCGGGCGCTTCCCTGCAAAGACATTGTGTCTTATCCAAAAAAGCTGGATCAAACCTATTTTGTGACTTCTTCTGGCAAGTTTCTTATGTGGGATATTACGTATTATATTTTGTGCAATTACATAGCTTAATAATTCCGATTAGTTGCAAAGCTGATAGTTTATGAACCTTTTGGCGTTATTTTACCTGGATTATCGCCCTTTTTATTGTGTTGTTTTTGTTACTTTCTAAAATTTTGACGTCATTGACAACCTACCGGATTTTTTTACGTCACGTTATTCAGTCAGCAGACGGCTGTCTATCGAGGCGGTCTACATTTTCTCATTTGCCTCTTTGAATTCAGTATTGTTTTTATCTGTTTTTGTGATGGGTGGAACATTTTCCCTACTGTTTTCAATATGCCTCGATTCTATTGAATACTAAAACGTTTCTTAAATGACTTAGAGCATTTGGTTTAGACTACCTGTTTTTTTTTTATACATTTCACCTATGTGGTTAATTACTTGTATAGTTAAATTTTACTACAATATGCTCACATTCATATTTCTTGTAACATATAGCAGATCATGACTCATGCTGGCATTACACATTGGTTTCTCTGGGTTTTATTCTTGATTGGTGGACGCTTACGGCTAGCCGCCGGATCCATTCACTTTATTTGAATTGTTCGTTTGTTTGTGATTTCTGCGTATTATGTCTTGTCCATATATTTGTTTTTATGTAAATTGTGTGTGGTGCAGTCCCCTTGCACTTACTATGAGGAAACAGTTGTCTACAATATCACCTTATGTGGAAGTGGACGTCAAACTCCAGGAACGAACGAACGAATTAGGCGGGTCAAACGACGGCTAAATGATGTCGTACGTAGAACAAATTGCAACAAAAGGTTTTTTGTTTTCTATTGACTCATTATAATGTCCTAAGTAAGGAAAAGAAAGTTTACCAAAATCGGAGTCCAAATAAGGACAGGGGGCGTGGCCAAATCCAAGATGGCGGCTGTCGATCAAAAATTGCAAATATATCTAAAACTATTGGGTTTAGATACCATAAATGTATTGCGGACGGATAGGAAGTCGGTACCAGCGAGTTAAAAAAATGGCGACGTTCTGTCTCTACGACGTCATGACGTTACTGTGACGTCACAACGGCATATCTTCCAAAATTAGTCCATATAATACGCATGTTAGCAGTAGAAACGAATGCTGATTCAGAGAAGAGGATTTGCCCATTATGGGTTGATAAACAAGAACAATGTGTTACAATAACGTAGAAGGAAGCTAAAAGTATATAAATATTGCTGCATTGTCGAAAGGTGATACTATTACAGCAGCCCTAGGAACACAGATTCATTTTAATTGTTGACAAAAATAGCCTACGTCCAACTGGGCTCCATCAGTATGCTATTAGGGGAATTTTGCCCTGCAGTGGCGCAAAAGCACTCTTATATCGAATTCCAACTGCAAAGGGTTCTTTTACTGGAGAAGTGCATTAAAGTATGAATGGGCGGGGCTGACCAATTTTCACATTTGGGCCACTCAGAAGTAGGTTAATCCCCAAAATCATTATAAGGATTCATATTTTGACACAGGTGTACTCGAGATGTGTTACAAAAAAACAAAAAATAATTTTGGCTGTAATGCGAAAAGCGCCCTCTGGTAGTGTTCCTAAAAGCTACACTTAAAAAGTTACGTTTTGTGGGCCCCGTTCATGTGGACAGACAGGAAGTCAGTACCACAGAGTTCAAAAGATGAAAACTGGTCTACCCGATTTTTTACGTTTTAGCTGAAAGTCTGTTGGGATGTATTTTTCCTGATGAGCATGGCTAATGCTACTACTCCGGTAGTCAAACACCAGGTTAAGCCGTGCGATGGAAATAAAGCAGGGCCCGTAATAGAGGGGGGGGGGGACAACTGGGACACTTGTCCAGGAGCCCGGAGTCTAAAGAGTCCCGGAGGTATGCCGCGTAATGGTAATGTTTTAAAAAAACATTTGTTGGTATAAAGTAATTAAAAAATACACTGTTACTTGATCATAAAGCAGAAGAAAACAGGTAACTTTGCTGAATGTGGGAATTTGGAAAAATTGGTAAATTTAAAACTATAAGTCACCTGCCCAGGCCTTAGTGCCGTGGAGCCCTGACCCGTTCTCGTTCCTTTTGATGCTATCGTCAACGTGAGGGTATTTAATCCAGCATCTGACTATGGTTCTGTAGGAAAGTTTGAGTAGGAAGAATTTTTTCGAAGAAATGTTTAGTGGGTGCCGAAGTAAGTATTTTGAACTTGGGTGGACACTCACCACGTGGTAGGTTATTTCACAATGACGTCATCAAATATGGCCGCCGACATTATATCAATTTTATCCTACCCGCTCTAGTTTTCCGTCAATTTCTATGAAATAAAGGCCAGAATGAAGCTGTTTATTTGAACTGATTTGAAGAACATATATTTGGTAATTTTTTTATTAATTTTCAAGAAAACACATCACATTTCTAAGCGAAAACGTGGAAAAAGTTAAAAAAAATATAAGAAAATTAGCACATTTACAATGCTACAACAATAAGAATACTTTAATAACACTCAAAAAAGAAGTTCTGTCTTTTTATATTAAGAACTATCTGTGCATACTAATTAATGATGTCAAGCATAGTTACCGCAAGATGTGATGTCACATAGTTACCATAAGATGTAGTATCTTCTGACTGTGAAGAAATACACCGAGCGGAATCTCTCACACGAATTCAAAATGAAATTAGCAAACATATACCTAGCGTGAATAAACTTATATATATATATTTATATGTATCACGATAATAATTGTTACCTTTATAACAGAAGCATTTTAAGACATGTTATTACCGTAAACATACTAAAATATTGCAAACTGGGCGCGCAGTCAAGAGTACGTTCACTTTGCATCAAACAGTATTCAAACCAGCTTTGGTGGCAAAATGTTGTATTGTATTCAAGACGCCTATTTCACACAAAATATTATTTTATATCCATGTGGACCTTCCATATTAACATTTTTCCCCTCCCTTTTTAGGGATGGGTTGAACAAGAGTATAGTAGTTTCAGGGCTCCCAAAACTAGTTTAGGTTCTTGCGTAATTTGGTGTACCCGTTTAATCATGAATTTATGTCGTTTTTGATGAATTGCTAAGATTGCCGCAAGTTAGATGTGCAGAAGCTAGAAACACCAAGATATACTCTATAAAGCACAATTTACATTAAAAACGAAACTGAAGTTTTTCGATATATTTGGCAATTGCGGACCTTTTTCCAACCAATGTGCTTTAGCAAAGTGACCTCCAGTTACCCCAGATATACGCCAAGTGACGCTAGAGACTATGTGTCTTTCAAAACGTTTCGTCGAGTAGCTTGTCCCAGGGCCTGGATGTCGCTGTCGCGGGCCATGAAATAAAATCCAACTAATGTGTTTTGATGGATTATATATCTTTAATATGTGCCGATTCAGAACCCGGATGATGCCAATACAAATTAGTATTCCAATATGACGACTTTATTCAAAATATGGCCACATTTCGATGTTAGCAATGTGGTGGCATAATACGTCAAATAGTAGGTTTTCGGGGTAGGCACATTAACATCTGAACCCCAAAATGTGCCATGACCGAACAAAACACCAATATGGTACTCAAATTTGACAAAATATCTATGTTCAGTAGACCATGGAAGTAAATAGTACATTTAGCAGTTCATATATTAATTCGGAGACCTTGAAAACCTCCAGTTTAACGTATTACACCATCACATTACTACAATTAACATTGAAATGTCCCTCCGTCTTCATTATCCAAGTTGGGGCAGAACTGTAGGATGTTAAACCCCATTTCATTTCGAAATGTCCCGCCAATCGTGACCGCCAATGCGAATACAGTGGTCATATTGGAATAACTTTGGATGGAACATATTTTATGTTAATACCTGAATTAGGAGACCACGAAAAACTATACAGTCTAAAATGGGTCCCATTTTGAATTTGGCTTCCTAGCGGAATTTGCCGTCACTTTTGGGGGCGGGGGGAATGCCAATGTTCTTTGGATTCAGCGAGTCGTATTCTTATAAAAACCAACCTTCAAACCGACGTCTGAGAAAAATAACCAGAAAATGTATGGGGACAAATATAAGAACTTCTTCAAAATGTGGCCTAACATAACTAGTATAAAGACGATATAATCAATTTTAAGGATGAAGCCGAATGAGAGCGACGATGTAGTGGCCAAATAGATAAAAAAAAAAGCGACATTAAGGAGCCCAGCGACTCAATGTTTGACACCTATTTTGTGCTTGTACTGTGGAAGTGCATTGAATGTTGCATGGATAGGGTCGACCGATTTTCACCTTTTTGGACTCTCTGGTATTCAGTTCCTATCTGTCCACATATGATCTGGACCCACAAAACGCCACTATAAAGTAATGCTTTTGTGGACACCACCAGGGGCTGCTGTTCACATTACCGCGAAAGTTGGTTTTGTAACACATCTCGGGTACATCTATGAAACTGGTGTCAAAATATAAATCTTTCTGATGATTTTTGGGCCAAATGTCAAAATTGATCAGCCCCACCCATTCACCTTTTTATGCACTACTTTTCCAATAAAAGACCTCTTGGCGGATGAAATTCGATATATGAGTAGGCTGTTGCGCCATTGCAGGGCAAATTTTCCCTCATAGCACACTAAGGGAGCCAAATCGGAGCAGAACAATAGGATGTATAACCTCATTTTATTTCATTTCTTCAACAATTGAAATGAATCCGTTTTCCTGCAGCTACTCTGATAGTATCACCTATCGGCAATGCAGCAGTAGTTATACTTTTAGCCCCCCCCTCTCCGTAATTGTAACACATTGTTCTTCTTTGTCAACACAACATAATGGGCTTGCAATCTTTTCTGCATCAGCATTCGTTTCTGCTGTTAAGATGTGTAAATGGACTAATTTTGGAAGAAATGCGACGTCTGATATGCCGTTGTGACATCGCAGCGACGTCATGGCGTCATAGAGACATAACGCTGATACCGACTTCCTATCTGTCCGCAATACATTTATGGTGTCTAAATCCAATAGTTTTAGAGATATTTGCAATTTTTGATCGACAGCCGCCATCTTGGATTTGGCCACGCCCCCCGTCCTTATTTGGACTTTGATTTTGGTAAACTTTCTTTTCCTTACATAGGACATCATAATGAGTCAAAAGAAATCAAAAAACCTTTTGTTGCAATTTGTTCTAGGTCAAACGTTAGTTTGACCAGCCTAAATCAATAAGCAAGTCATTAGGTCACTCGACTTAGCAGCAACTACGTCGGTCATCCACTGTGCTGTAAAGGGGCCCATACACGTTCAATAATTCCGTCAATATTATTGATCCAATATATTGACTCAATATATTGAATCAATAATATTGACAGGAATTGCCCACACACGATTCAATATTTCCATCAATAATTTCATCATTTTTTGGTCATTTTTCAAAATGGATGCCATGTTTACTCTTCCAAGGTTGACGATGGAATGAAAATATTGACGCAATTATTGACAGATTCTCCACGCACGATCTATATTGTCATTCAATAAATTGACCGTCCGTCAATATATTGATGAACCATCAATAAAAATCAAAATGGTTTTGATCTGTGAATATATTGACGCAATGATGGTTATTGACAATATTTTACATCAATATAGCCCACACATGTTCAATCTCAATAATATTGACGGAATTATTCAACGTGTATGGGCTCTATAAGTGTACATTCACATTTTATGTATTGAATTATTGTCATTTTTAAGATATAAGTTCTAGTAATTAAAAGATTGAAGAACCATTCCAGACTTATTAGTCATTGAAGAACCCAATTGTTATATTATAGCAAGGATTATTTCCTAATGTTTCCAGTCGTATCGGTCCCTGTTGAATTGTGGTTGATCGTTTATCGAGTTATTGCCCTTAGATTCCATAATTACTCTCGAGACCTACACAGTATTTTATCTATATATATATATATATACATATATATCTTGTTTCAATAGCATTTAGTAAGTGACCTGGGAATATACAGGTCACAATTCCTTGATAAAATATGAAATATAACGAGTCAATACATGTTGTTATGTACATGTATATATTGTCTTGTTATATTTTTATTTTTATATGGAATTCGGTATAAAAATAGGCCATAGTGTCGCTGCCGGGGCAAAATTTTCCTCATTGCCCACTGTATGGCGTATGCCCGTCTTCATTGGCCCAGTCGGAGCAGAACAGTAGGACATTAAACCCCATTTCATTTCATTTCATTGATTTAAAATAACCGTGATTGTGGAATTTTTTTTTGTTTTTTTTTCAAAACTTGCTGACCGCGAAGCCATCCTTTGTTTTTATTTTAGCTCTAATAAGATTTAAAAGTCATAATTTTTTTTTTTTTTAACTATTTCAATTCGAAATGCGGTATGTACATTAAAGGTCACCGGAAAAGCTTCAAACGGCGGAAATTACTTACATTAAATTTACCTGTTGCAGGTAATATTGACATTCGGGTTGGTGTTATACTTATGGAAAGGATATGTTGACATAATTACTTGCATTATTTAAAAAGATTATGAAGCTTTTCCGGTGACCTTTAATATAGAGAAAGAGAGAGAGAGAGAGAGATTTAGCTCTTGCATAATGTATGTTTAAGTTTTAATTTACATATGTGATATGGTAAGTTGGGAATAAGTGATAATATTATGTGATATGGTAATATAAAGGTCACAATTCTATGGAATACAATTACTGCTTATTACTGAACAACATTTCGACTAGGCTTCTCTAGTCATTATCAGTTCTATGTAATAAAATTACTGCTTATTACTGCGCGACGTTTCAACTAGGCTTCTCTAGTCATCCTCAATTCAACTAGGCCTCTATAGACTTCATCATTTCTATTACTGCTTAATGACTGAACAACGTTTCGACTAGGCTTCTCTAGTCATTATCAAGCAATGATATGGTTAGTTGGGAATAATTAGTCTATACCGCTTAGTCATTATGTTAATTGATCCGTGACGTCAATAAACATTGGTCAGATGTTCATATGTGTGTATAAAGCTACATCAATAAAAAAATATGTCCAGTTAAAAATAAAATCAATCATCTTTACTTTGTTCTGATAAACATCAAATCATAATCTAGCTGTCTACTCAGAGAGAGAGAGAGAGAGAGAGAGAGAGGGGGGGTAACGTCCACTCGGCACAGACTAGGTCATTTCAGGACTAAGATATGGTTTAATTTTATTTCAATAATTCGCTTGCGCGTAAGGGTCTTTAGCAGCAGGAGGAACCCCGAGGACCCAGAGAAAACCCACGAGGTTAGACAGGCGACCTACTCCTTGTCACGTACAACCAGGGAATCAAAACCACGCCATTTGACTCAATGACAGACCTTATGATACAACGCGTTGATTCAGTCATCCAACCCCCGACCTTTAATTTATGTTTCATAGCAAGAGACAATATAGATAAAAATTAATTGAAGAAAAACTGTATATCGTAAATGCAACTATTACAAATTTATTATATTATAGTAAATGTATCTTTTTAAAATGAGAGGCATGCTGGCTTAGTTTGTATAATATGTTGGCTTGGAAATTTCCCCGGGTTTTCCCTTGTCATTGGTGTAGGACGGGATTTCTCAGCCGGGTTTTCCCTTGTCAGTGGTGCAGGACGGGATTTCTCAGTCGAGGTTTTCCTTGTTAGTGGTACAGAACGGGATTTCCCAGTCGGGTTTTACCTTGTTAGTAGTGCAGGACGGGATTTCCCAGTCGGGTTTTCTCTTTTCAATGGTGCTGCACGGAGGCCCGACATGGACAAAAGCATGGTAAAAGAAAACTTGGCAGTTGAAATTCAGCAGAAAATAGTCAGAAAGATCGCTTGCCGGGCAAAATCACCCTCATAGCACACTGCACTGCGTACGCCAGTCTTCATTAACCCAGTTTGGTGCAGAAACTCAAGGCGTTAAGGGGGGGGGGGGCTGACACATTAATGAGTTTAATTACTATCTTATTGTTTATTTTATTGCAATGTCTTGTATAATTTAATCTCCCCTTTTTAATTGTTATTAGTAACCTTGGTGTATATTGTTATTTCCTAAGATACCATTTTATTATAAACACCGATTTGTACATTGACAAAACATTCTAGGTTTTATCCCGTTTCCGGTACAGTTACTCTGCTTGTCGGACGTGCTATTCTCCGTATATGATGTTAAATGTTTTCCGGTAATAAATAGTCTCAAGGATAGTTCCGGTCTTTAGTTATTATCGAAGATTTACACTGTTACAGTATCATAAAGTCTGTCATTGAATCAACTGGCGTGGTTTCGATTCCCCGGTTATACGTGGCAAGGAGTCGGGTCGCCTGTCCAACCTCGTGGGTTTTCTCCGGGTCCTTCGGTTCCTCCCACTGCTAAAGACCCTTACGCGCAAGCGAATTATTGAAATAAAATTAAACCATATTTTAGTCCTGAAATGACCTAGTCTGTGTCGAGTGGACGTTAAATCCCATCTCTCTCTCTCTTTTGTCATGTCGATCTTTTTTCTGTTTGAATGCTTGACAAACACCTTTAATCAGTATTACCGTGATAAACACCGACATTGACATGATGCTACAACCCCCTGTGGAATGCCCATGACGTCATACCCATGTCTCTAATGTCACATCCATTTTCATCTTTTCATTTCAGGATATTAAAAGATATACTGACGTCATAGTTTCTGTATTTTTATTTCTTTCAGATGTCAAGTTGACGGGAATGAAATACAGCGATGTAGGTTCATTTTATTCATATATTTATAGTTAAGGTAAAGAAAGTCAAAATAGACTTACTATGTATTCTTACCTGAAATGCAATTAACAAAACCGATTAATTCTAGTTCTGGCCATTTGAAGTTTGTATGGTTTCTACTGATTTTACGCGCTAGGGTCGTAACAGTGCACGTCTTTTAATAATCCAGGTTATGCAACCTAAGGTAAACCTAACATAATGGTATTCCTGTTGCGGACGTAAGGGAGTTTGTGTCAAGTGGGGGGGAAACTGGAGGACCCGGACAAAATTCACGAGGTTGGACAGACGACCCTACTTCTTGTCACGTACAATCGGGGAATCGAAACCAGTTGACTCAATGGCAGATCTTATGATACAACGCGCACGCGCTAACCATTCGTCATCTCCCCCCCCCCCCCCGCTTCTTTAAAAAACAATTGTCAACAAAACGTATATGTTGATTTTCATTTGAGTTTTATCGATCTTTGAGGTAAATCTAATTTTCGTTGTTTTTCAGACAGGAAGATTTACTGGAGACGAGTACAAACAATATAATGGTGGTCTGGAACTTATGTTAAATAAGTTAGAAAGATCCCCGTCACGTGATGGGAGCCGAAGATATAATACAACGACGGGATCACCGGAATCTCAGAACAACGAATTCATTTTAAAGACAACAGACGATTCTTCGGAAATTAATGGACAGAATAATTTTAATCGTGTTAAACCTCCAGACTTCATCAGCAAAGCCGTCCCATCAAACAACATTGAACAATATGCCATTAAAACTAGCTATTTAAATATCAGTATTAATGGATTAAATGTGACTGACCCGGAAGTGAATCATCGCCTTGTTGACAGAATAATCCCGGAAGTGTTTAATGATCTTAATGTGAAAAAGGAAAACATAATCAAGCAAGACAAATCGCCATTTTTAAATGACGAACGAACCAAGCAACGTATTTCACGTTTAGAAAAAGTCTGTAAGGCGAAACCAGTCGGAGGGAGAGTCGTGCGCGTGCTCGTGGACCCGACAAACACAATGTCTTACTGTGTTATTCATAAGATAGCCTCTACCCATTGGTTGAGAGTCTATCGGTATTTATGGAATGCCACTAAAAAAGGTCACGTCTCAAGTCCTTACAAGATTACCAAGATGGAGGCCCACCTGTCACCAAAATTCAAAATGGCCGACCACAATTTCAGGTATCCCTTGGATCAAAGGTTAATAATGAGCACGAGGCGTTTTATGTTTGTTCGTGAACCGTTTACACGTCTGTGGTCTGTGTACATTGACAAATTTATTTTAGCTGATAATTATTTTTGGTCGTTCTACGGGCCTAAAGTAGCCCGGATAAACAATATGGTGATACTTCCGGCTTTAAAACCGTGCTATCATTTTACTTTTAGACATTTTATAAATTTTGTTGTGGCCACGGGCGTTAATCCCGATGACATGAATGATCATATTAGGCCGATTCATCGATTATGTAATCCGTGTGATTTTAAACCACATTTTGTGGGAAAGCTGGAGACAATGACTAGTGATAGCGATATAGTCCTTAATTCGATGAATGTCACGTGGGGAGAACCAACTTCCGGGAAGGATCATCGTACATATCAAGAGATGAAGACCATCATCGAATTTAATTTTCATATAGTCAAAGACCTCCGGTTGTTATCGCGGTGTCTGAATCCTGTTTCCTTAGGGAAAAGACTTCTCCGTGCTTTTGTTTTAAATGGTTATATTCCACTGAGTGAAGAAAGTGTCCTTATTGAAAAATTACCTTTAATGAAAGAACGATTACTTGATCTAGTTTGGGGCGTTTATCGCAGTACAAATCGAACACAGGCAATGGTCAAAGCCCAGCGCCAAGAACTAAAAATAAAAGCATTTCAAACCATTCCGTTACAACTTATGCATAAATTACAACAAATTTATCTGATGGATTTTGAACTGTTCGATTATCGTTTAGATCCCCCTGAATTCTTTTATAATAAAAAGACGGTTTAAAAACGATGTAGTTCGAATGTTATATATTAAGGTTACTGTGCAATGTAAGTGTTCGTCTTCTTCTATTAGTGTTTAACTTCCGCTTCCGCCGAGGGTGATATCGCAGACAAGTAGTCTCATTTTTATTATCTTATCTTAGTCGTCTTTCTTGTGGGAGGAAACCGGAGTACCCAAACCACACACGCTCACACCAGAGATTTAAACCACGACTACAAACCAGAGATGACCGGCCAGATAGAGCGAGAGAGAGAGAGAGAGAGAGAGAGAGAGAAATGGGGTTTAACGTCCATTAGACACAAACTAGGTCATTTCGGGACTAACACTTTGTTTAACCTTATTTCAATAATTCGCTTGCGTGTAGGGGTCTTTAGCAGTGGGAGGAAACCGGAGGACCTGGAGAAAACCCACTAGGTTGGACAGGCGACCCTACTCCTTGCCACGTACAACCGAGGATTCGAAACCACGCCAGTTGACTCAATGACAGACTTTATGATACAGCGCGCGCGTGCTAACCATTCAGCCACCCAACCCCCCTCGTCCAGATAGAGCTCGAAGTGCGAAACTCTAGACCATTACGCTATCCCAATCCCGCAATGTTAGTGTGCTCCCTCCCAGGGTTATTTATATATATATTGAGCGAATCTGGTCAACAGTTGGCTCGGCTAGGATTGGGCATCAAAATGGAAATAAACTGAGGTTTAACGTCCAATTGTTTTACATCAACCGGCCTCGTGAAATGGCGTTTAACGTCCTACTGTTCTACACCAACCGGCCTCGTGAAATGGGGTTTACCGTCCTACACCAACCGGCCTCGTGAAATGGGGTTTAACGTCCTACACCAACCGGCCTCGTGAAATGGGATTTAACGTTACACTGTTCTACACCAACCGGGATCGTGAAATTGGATTTAACGGCATACTGGTTTACACCAACCGACCGCATGAAATGAGGTTTAACGTCCTACTGTTCTTCACCGATTGTGAAAATGGGGTTTAACGTCCTACTGGTTTACATCAAACGGCCTCATGAGTCATGAAATGGGAATTAGCGTCCTACTGTTATACACCGACCGGGATAATGAAGACGGGTATACGTCATACAGTGTGCTATGAGGGAAATTTGCCCAGACACAAGCGGCCTAATCAAGACAACCATACGCCATGACCTCGCATAGCGAGTGATAAATAATCACATTATTAAATATGCCCTATCCTTAACAACTCTATAAGCTTCTAAAATTTATTCCAAACATTTGTATGAAGTTGGCCTATTTGCATAATTGAACCCTTTTTTTTATAAACAGGGCCCCAATCGGTGCAAAACTGTAGGGTATTAAACCCCATATCAGTTTATAAACAGGCCTAGTATGGGTGTTTGATCACGACGGTTAGGCAATATAACGACGAATTCAATAGCTGTCTATGGAGTTTTCATCGTATGCAAACATTTCGTTTGGAAGTCTAAATTCTGTGTTCTTGAAATAGAAAACCCTCCAATTCTAAAACAGACGCAATGTGCTGGTTCACCGAGAAAAAAGATAGTCTTGAACTACCAGTTATACAAGACGGACATGAAAGCGATCAAGAAAGAAAGAGGGAGAGAGAAATGAGGTTTAACGTTCACTAGACACAAAGTAGGTCATTTCGAGACTAACACATAGTTCAATTTTATTTCAACAATTCGCTTGCGCGTAGGGGTCTTTAGCAGTGGGAGGAAACCGGAGGACCGGAGAAAACCAACGAGGTTGGACACGTACAACCGGGAATGGAAACCACGCCTGTTGACTCAATAACAGACTCTATGATACAGCGCGCACGTGCTAACCATTCTGGGACAAGAGAATATCTGTTGATGGAGTCTTTCAGTCGATTGTGGAGGTCAGAAATTCTCAGTCTCGAAATACCCCCCCCCCATCTCTCTCTCTCTCTCTCTCTCTCTCTCTCTCTCTCTCTCACACACACACACACCCATACACACACACCCATACATGTATACTATTCAAAAAAAGTAGGGGATATTTGATTTTGGGGGCATAATACTAAAATATGCAAATGACTACGAAAAAAGTCACTATAGAACCTAACAGAAGAAACATTTCCAGTTACATGTGACGCCCAAACGCACCAATAGCTACCGCATGGAATGCAGGTGATGCTTGGGATCATCATGGGGGTCCAACCCAAGATTTGCACGACTCTGACTTTGAATGTTACAGTCATTGTGGCATTGAATTCCAGGGTGGAAACATCAGTTTAATTGTTTTAGTGACCAGAAAACAAATTTTGATATGCGTCGGCTTACCCAAAATGAAAGGTTACGTGCCCTTGGCATGCTACAGATCGGCACAACACAGGCGGTTGTGGCGCGGACGATGAATGTTTCTCAGTCTGTCATAAGCAGGCTATGGTCCAGATACCGTGATACACAATCTGTACAGGACAGACCACGCTCAGGTCGACCAAGGGCGACAACTCAAGCCCAGGATCGATTTATCCGTACCTTGGCCTTGAGAAATCGTGTCATCACAGCAAATCAGATCAGCGCTCGTCTTCAAACAGACACTGGTGTGAGAGTGAGTGGCCAGACGATTCGGAATCGACTGCATAGGGGTCACCTTCGCGCCCGACGTCCTCGCGTGATCCCTTGTTTGAGAGATCATCACATTCAGGCAAGACGTCGTTGGTGTAGGGATCGTCAACACTGGGATAATCGACGCTGGAGCAATGTGATGTTTTCAGATGAGTCAAGGTTCACTGTTGATTTTTTGGACAGACGTAGGAGGGTGTGGCGTCGTCCGAAACGAGCGCTTCCAAGACGTTAACGTCATCAGACATGATCGATTTGGGGGTGGTTCTGTTATGGTGTGGGGAGGCATCACTGTTGCTGGAAGAACGGCTTTACATGTTGTTGCAGGGCGTGTTACAGGCCAGTACTACCGGGACAACATCTTGGCAGTCCATGTTGTGCCGTTCGCACGACGTCATGGCCGCCGTTTCATCTTCCAGGATGACAACGCAAGATGTCACAGGGCCAGGATCGTTACAGGTTACCTACAACAACAGAACATCACCACATTACCTTGGCCAGCACTGAGTCCCGACCTCTCCCCCATCGAGCATGTCTGGGACATGCTTGGACAGAGGTTACGTCAACGTCAACAACGTCCTGCCAATGTCCAAGAACTTGCTGATGCGTTGCAACAGGAATGGGACAATCTGGACCAAAATGACCTTAGACGTCTCATTAGGAGTATGCCACCTCGGATCAATGCTTGTTTGGCAAACAGAGGAGGATTTACCCGTTATTGACTTGGTTGTGATGCTGTGGTAACTTTGCTGTTTGACCCCGGGTATCATTTTACCCTTATAATGGTCAGTCTGTGCCTTACTTAGTCTAACGATCATTTGGAATAAATCGATGAATGTGAACTTCATTTCATTTTGTCATTTGTTTCTTCGTCAGTTTCATTAGGTGACTTTAATAACACTTAAAAATCAAATATCCCCTACTTTTTTTGAATAGTATATATGGTGTAAATCGAGGACTTAGACTGGATCTTCCTAATCGAGGTCTTCATAAATACTGCATGTAGCTGAAAACCACCCTTATTCCTGAACTCTATTACATTAAACGATTATGAAAAGTTATAATTTATACCTCAATTTATATATTTTATGCATTTGACCTTTTACGGAAGAAATGCGGACATGCAGGAGTTTGCAAATAATTGGGGAAACACGACCGGCCGAGTCCGTTACGCCTAACCGAGGACACGCATGGTGTAAGTTGGGAACGCCGCCAAACGAGGTCATTTGCTCTATACTACCATACTGTGGACTTGACACTTATTGTGGCCTTTAACCTGTAAATAACTAAGTTTATTAATGTGGTCATCCGAGGACGCATATTATGTTTTAATACCGACAATTGGGGACTTTGTGTATGTTGAACACCAACAACGAGTACACACACACTCACATCCGAGGACGTTACAAGTGTATATCAATAATATAAATTGAGTGGGATCAATACTCTATATCCGAGAACAGGTCCCCTTTGACCGCATGATCAGCCCACTGAAAGAATATTTTTTTTATTGATTCAGCCACATAAAACTTTTAATTTTCTAAACCAGTCTGACTGAGGTCGTACAGACTGTATGTGAACAATCGAGGACTTGTCTTCTTGACACTTATTGTGGTCTTTAACCCGTAAATAACTACGTTTTTGTTCTCCCTTTGATCACACATGGGAAAAAAGACAACATAACCGTTATAATTGATTTGCGGTGCAATATCGCGATAGAAGAGGGGTTTTTTTTATTAAAGATACATTATGGGAGATAAGATAAAGAGATGGCAGTTCTCGCTATAATAGTTAAAAACTAGATAGTGTAAAGGTAATTTGCTGGAAATTTCAGTCAAATTGATCCACTATGAGCCGAGAAAGAAGCGGGTGAAATTTTTGCATAGTCTCGGTCATCATTACTAAAATCATTAATATAAACAGCATAGCCTCGATTATCCACTTTTTCTGATTTAATTATCAATAGCCGTTAGCGGCATATAGGAATCTAATCCAGCCAACATCGAAGGCTGGCCTTGACATCGAGAGTTTATTATGGTCTGGATAAGTTAATTAATGTCTAATTGATAATTTAGATAACATTTCAGGCCTAAAGAAAGACTTGTAATAAGCAGATTTTGCTCTTGCATAATGCATGTTTAACGTACATTATCTTTTAATACGGACAAATGGGGACTTTGTGTATGGTGAACACCAACAACCGAGTACACACACACTCACATCCGAGGATGTATATCAAAAATATAAATTGAGTGGGCTCAACATTCTATATTCGAGGACAGACCCCCTTTGTCCACAGGAGTAGCTCATTGAAAGAATATTTTTTTAATTGATTCAACCACTGAAACTTCTAATTTCCGGAACCAATATAAGTGAGGTCTTACAGTCTGTATTTGAACAATCGATGACTCGCACACAAT